AGGAACCAAATCAATTGAAATCCAATTGAAGTCTTGTTGCCAAATGACTCTTCACGTGCAAATTGGCTAAGTCAGCATTGTTCCAGAATTGTCACCCGCGAAGGAATCTCCAAATATTTGGAAGTTTGCACGTGACCAACAATCCCGCAAATCCGGCTTTGGACATCATACTTAGGCGTGCCCACGTCTAACTGACAGGAAGGCTTCAAAAGTTAATTTCCCAGCTCCTTTTGCCCCTAAATGCTGCAATTCGCATAGAACACAAAATCTCAGTAAAATCCACCGATTAGTGCAGTATTTAGTCCAAATAAATAGGAAAAGCACGTGAGAAGACCGACTAAACTGCACTCTATCAATTACCCCCACACCTAGATCATGCTTGTCCTCAAGCATGAGAATAACAAATCAAATAATCAAATTCAAATAATGGCTATTGCTTGAATATTCTATTGCCAAACATATGTCAAGTATTAGTGGCAATTTGCAAGAACTATCTCTCCAATTAGCTTTCAAGATCAAGGACTCTTTCAATTTATGACTAACTAATCTACGAATATAAAATATTCAACCAGCAGCTATAAACAAATGGTTCGACTATTAAACAAAATCTCAACATTAAAATTCATGGATCAGCGGGCTAACAATTCATTCACCTTTTTCACTATTAGCACTTTTTCTAGAATATCCCCACTTGATTGATTTTTTTTTCTTCAGGGGGAATACTTAGTTTTTAGCCATTCAAGCATTTTGACGCGAACTCCGACATTGGCCAAATGAAGGAGCCCGGTTACTCAGCCATCATCGCTTAAAAATCACATACTCATAGTTATCGTCGCTTTTTGACGCGAAAGTCGACACTTGTGGTGAAAACCTCCGATTACTAGACAACGATACTAGCGGAGTATAGCTGAATACTATTCATAAATAAGCACAAAAAATAAAATTAAATACCACATAAACTCGCTTCATTTCTTAAACATGGAAAACTAAGATTAATAGCTGAACCAATTTGCACAAAAAATGCTAGACAAATATTTACAATACTTAGAAAAGTTAACCAAAAAGTGCAAAAGTCACAAAATCTCAAATATTCACCCAAGAGATACCCTTAAAATCAACCATGTCATACTCAACACCTTAAAGTGTAAAATCTTAGCAATAGAAAAATTTGAGACATCTAACCATCGTTTATCAGGAATAATCACAAATAAGCACAAAGATAGGCAAAAATTGGACAAAATTCGACAAAGTCAAACAAAAATTCCAACAAACATGCCTACACTTGCACTTTTTCAATAAAATGCCAATATACTACTTCCCCCCACACCTAAATCTTGCATTGCCCTCAATGTAAGCAAAGAAAGAGCAAAACAGAGATATTGAGGCAACGACACTTCCCTTAAAACAGAGGAGGGCAGAACTGAACTACGGCTGTGGAGGGAAAGGCGGGCGGAAACCCACGTGATGGAAATACTGTGCTAAATTCTGGGCCATCCCGCCCATTTGACGCTCCATCCGCTCCATACGAGTGTCCGTGTGCTGCATCTGGAGCCGAAGGGCTGCAAGCTGGCTATCGGCGGAGGAAGACGGTGGAGGTGCCGCAGAGGACAGTCCGGGGTCCTCTCGGTCAAATCGAGGAGGCAGATCCACTCGAGGGGACTGTGGGCAGTGGTTATAGGTAGAAGGTTTGCTCTTGCCTTTGTTCTTGGGTTTGGTCATTGGATATCAGTGGACAAGACAAAGGCAAAGTAATGATGTTCAAAATATGTCAACAAACAACCAACAAGTCAAATGACCCCCAGTCACAGCTCCCAATCACAAACAAGTGCAGAAACGGATAATAAACTCACCCCAAAAACTAATTAAACCTGTGAACGACAAAATTTTTGCCAAATACTACCAATTTGACAATTAGTTAGCAATCACCCACGGATATAGCACAGCACCCAAAATCAAGCACAAAATATCTGTCCTCAGCTAGCAATTAAAAAGAATCTGGCCTCAGCTACGAAAATAAAATTCTGTCCTCAACTAATTAGTGACATAAAAATAAAGAAAGAGATCACCGGAGGTGTTTCGACCACAACAACAGGTACAGTGGAGGGGCAGAGGCGACGTGCGTGGACCTCACGCGAGTGGCTGACATGCAAAAGGGCGCCCGGCTGCTGCTGCGGCTACTTGCCGAGCTTGGCTGGTGAAGGAGGCGCCGGATCCGCACACAGTGGAGCTGAGGAGCTGGAACTGCGGCTGGTGGTCCGCGCGCACGGCGGCGTGCAGCCTGGCTGCTGGTGCTGGAGCTTCCACGCGTTGGCTGCGCAGAGAGAGAGGGAAGTCGCGCGCTGGCCGCGGAGGAGACTTGCGGCGTCTGAGTACTGGAGGCTGCGTGAGCTGCGAGCTTGCGCGAGAGGGGTGAGCTGCGCGCACGGACTGTGGCTGCTGCTCTGGTCGCGCGCACAGAAAGGGGCTGACTGGGCTGCCGCTGCTGGCTCAGCTGGGTCGCGCGTGCTGGCTGCGCAGAGGTGGAGCTCACGCAGGGCTCGTTGTGGAGGTCGTCTGGCCTGTTGCGCGGAGGCGGGGCGCGACGGCGGCGAGCTGCTGGTGAGTGCGGCGGACAGCAATGCCGGCGTGCGGTCAGGTGGGGAGCGGCGGCGCCCCAAGCAGAGGAAAGGAAAGAAGAAGAAGAAAGAAAGAAAAAGGAAAAAAAGAAGAAGTAGGGCTACGGTTTTTTTTTTTTTTTAGTTAAGGAGCCTCTGGCTAAGGCGTGGGCACGCCTAACTGCCCTAGACCTTTGACCATCCGTCGAAATTCTCAATCCGTTAGCGTGACCACCTGGCGTGGGCACGTTTAACTATTATAGAGTCCGCAGATCTTGAACGAAAATTTCTTTCCCTCAGACGTGATCACTTGGCGTGGGCACGTTTAACTACTATAGAGTCCGCAGATCCTGAACGAAAATTTCTTTCCCTCAGGCGTGACCACCTGGCGTGGGCACGCCTAACTACTAATTTTCTGCCACCAATATCAAACTATTAATTGACACCAACACCTAACTAAAACTTAAAAAATGCATGAAAACTGAAACAAATAGTCTTGGGTTGCCTCCCAAGCAGCGCCTTTCTTTAATGTCTTTAGCTAGACATTGTCCTGTTTATTCATGGAGGATAAAATCGCGTAGCTCGCTTCAGTGTTTCATCTTCTATGTAATCCTGATTGCCCTCGTAAATAGAATAATTTTTGAGCACACGAGCTATGGTCTTCCATGGGCTAGTAGATGGCGCCAAACAACCAAGTAATAGCCTTAAGTTTTCATTCATTCCTCCATCGCAAGCACTTATTGGTTTGAGATATTTTGCCATCGTGGCTCTTAACTTGTTCCTGTCATGAAACTCAAAATTTTATGGTATAATAAAATCAATCTCACTAACAGGAATTAAAGAATAAGAGTCAGGAAAATATTGATCAAGGAATGGAGGAGATGTCACCGCATTTGGAGATTGTTCACTGGATTCATTCACTTGAACCATTTGATGTTGGGGTCTCAATTCTTGTGCTTCAACTTTCTTTTCATCTGCATCTTTAGATTCTTCATTTTGACACTCTTGCATCTCCATGTCATTTGTCAGAATAATTGCACTCTCATCTTCCTCATGGTCGATAATAGTCGGTGAAGGCAATTCTTCATAAACTGGAGAAGTCAATTTGCTCATTTTAGATGCCCATTCACGCCTTCCTTCTTTCATCTCTTCACTCATCTTTTGTGTCTCCTGTTGAAGTTGATATACCTCCTGTTGAATTTGATATGTGTTAGTAGCTATTAATTCAACTATTTCTTCAAGAGACATACCTGACATGGATGACGGTTCTTGAGACTCTACCTGTTGAAAATCTATTGGCCTTTGTTGATAATTAAAATTGGAATCATCCCACCATCCTTGCTCATACCCATTTGAATAAGGGTCATACCACGTTTGAGACCAGGATGAAAAATCTCCATAATTATTGAGTGGGACACTCAGATTATCTTGATATTCGGGGCACATACCGGTCGAATGATCCCTGACATAACAAATTTCACAGGTTGCAACAGCCATTCTTTTTCTAATAGAGTTTAGTGCCTCTAAATATGCAAACTTAGAAAAAAAATCAGTCTCATTGCCTTCCTCGAAAACAAAATCCAGTAAATCACCAAAATACGGAGTGTTAGAAGCCATAAACTATATAATAAAAAAAATAAGAGAAAAATAAATAAATAAAAATAAAAACAAGATGAACTCAAAAAGAAACAAATTAATCTGGCACCAGTCCCCGGCAACGGCACCAAAAATTAACAGGTGCCGAACCTGTGCAATAATAAATATCTACTCGAGAAAAATACAGATTTTGTATATAGCGGTGAGTAGGATCGAATCCACAGGGACTGGGGATAATTCGTTTCTTCTAGAGTTCAAAGTATGGGGGGTTTTGGATTAAATGCTAACTAAATAAATTAATTACAGAAAATAATTGATTAAGAGAAATAATTAAGGGAAAACTCTAGCCAAGGGTACACTTCAGAAATGGTTCATGCACTGATCATCGATTCACAGATAATTCCACATTTATTAATAGATTGGTTATAGTTGTCATACACACGATAAACAACCAACCTTTCCTTACTTTCTCGATAGTTAAGGTACGACCGTTAACTATTTCTCTAACCCAAAAACAATCTTAGGTACGACCGTAGGATTTAATTTCTAGATTGTATTAATAATTAGAAAGACCCAATCCTAACTAACAAAAACGTTAAGAGGGTTTGTTTAAATTAGATTGTATGTTTCCCTGACATAAACCCGATTTGCCAGTTGCTACTGAGATAAAGATAACGAACAATTACGGATTCAATTATCCCTATTTAGCAAAATAGCCTATGTGAATAATTAAATATTGCGCATCTATTCAATCACTCACACGAGCTATAGCAATTAAAAGCAGGAAACATATAAATACCAATAAATTAAGGAAGCAATTAAAATAAATTAGATCTCACAGTAATTGTTGAACCAAATCTTTAGTTGTCCCCTTGACTAGCAATAGGAGGTTAGTCCTCCATTAATGGAGAACAACCCCCGCGGAAAAGCTAAGAAAAGAAAATCTAAAACTATGCTAAAAGCCTAAACTAAAACTTGTTTATGTCGAGAGAGAGAGAGAGAGAGAGAGATATCCCCTGAAGCCAGCAAAGGGATTGTATTTATAGAGTCCTCGTGCGGCTGTCTCCCAAAAGAGACCCAGTAGTCTTCCTGCTTTTGTGGGTCAGCACGTTTAGTCAAAGAAGGAACCAAATCAATTGAAATCCAATTGAAGTCTTATTGCCAAATGACTCTTCACGTGCAAATTGGCTAAGTCAGCATTGTTCCAGAATTGTCACCCGCGAAGGAATCTCCAAATATTTGGAAGTTTGCACGTGGCCAACAATCCCGCAAATCCGGCTTTGGATATCATACTTAGGCGTGCCCACGTCTAACTGACAGGAAGGCTTCAAAAGTTAATTTCCTAGCTCCTTTTGCCCCTAAATGCTGCAATTCGCATAGAACACAAAATCTCAGTAAAATCCACCGATTAGTGCAGTATTTAGTCCAAATAAATAGGAAAAGCACGTGAGAAGACCGACTAAACTGCACTCTATCAAGACTCTACATGAAACATCTGTTGGGTGTCATTGTGGGCAGAGGGCAAGTCTACAAAGGATTCAGAGCATCTTCTATTGGCCAGGGATGAAAAAAGATGTTATTCAGTTCATTTGATAGTGTGACGTTTGTCAGAGGAGCAACCTTGAGCATCTTCCCTATCCAGGATTATTACAACCCCTACCCATCCCAAACCAAGCATGGTCACACATCACCAAGGATTTCATAGAAAAGCTTCCTTATTCCAGAGGATTTGATATTATATTGGTGATTATAGATAGAATGACCAAGTTTGGTCATTTCATACCACTTACTCATCCATTTTCAGCTGCTTAGATAACTCAGCTCTTTCTAGATCACATTTACAAACTTCATGGACTACCTGAGTCTATTGTGACTGATAGAGATAAGTTGTTCATTAGCAAATTCTGGCAGGAACTCTTTAGAATGATTGGCACTGCTCTGCATTATAGCTCATCCTATCATCCAGAGACAGATGGTCAAAGTGAAAGCCTGAATCAATGCCTGGAAACATATTTGAGATGCATGATCAGTAAAGTCCCTACTCAATGGAATCAATGGCTTAGTTCAGCAAAGTTCTGGTACAACACTTCATACCATACTAGTCTGGGAGTATCCCTTTTTGAAGCCCTTTGTGGTTACAAGCCTCTATCACTTCCTATGGGTCCTTATCATGACACCATTATACCAGCAGCTCACAATATGCTCCAACACAGAGTTCAGATGTTGCATAGGATCAAGGAGCATCTGCAACAAGTTCAGAACAGAATGAAAGTTTTTGCAGATAAACATAGGTCAGAAAGATAGTTTGAGGTTGGTGATTGGGTGTTTTTAAAGATACAGCCATATAGGCAACAGTCTGTAACTATTAGGCAAACTCTGAAACTGTCTGCTAAGTTTTATGGTCCCTTTCAAATCATTAAGAAGGTTAGTGCAGTGGCATATAAGCTCAAACTCCCACCTGAAGCCAAGATTCACCCAGTCTTTCACGTTTCATTACTTAAACCAAAGCTGGGACCTCACCAGGATATTACCCCAACTCTTCCAGAGTTTGACTGTCATGACCATTGCCTTTTACAACCAGCTGCAGTCTTAAAGCGTAGGGTAATATTGAGGAATGGTGGTTCAGTAATTCAATATCTTATTAAGTGGCATCAGCTAGGAGAAGAAGAGGCATCTTGGGAAGACCAATCTTTCATCAACAGCCAGTTTCTTGACTTCCAGCCTTGAGGACAAGGCTCTTTTCCATCGCAGGGAGTATTGTCAGGTCCAGGGGTGTGATTGAAATAAAACCAAAGTTGCAAGTGCCTTGGTATCAATATCCAGCAAATTTGAAAGTTAGTTAAAGTTCGTTAGAAAGTTGCAGAAACAATTGTAGAGTTCGTTAGCTGACTGAGTGTATAAAATCCAGATTGTATAGTGGATTGGGAATCAAGAAAGAATGATCACGTTCCCTCTATTACTAATTCTTAACTTCCTCTTTCCATTTGCTTTCCCTCTTACACTCCCACCTTTTCTAGATCCTTTCTTTCTTTCTCCATTCATCTGTAAGTTTCTTTCTCTGGATTTGGGGTCCTGACACCTTACGAGTGACAATTTTGTCTTTCCATAAAAAGCAAACGAAGGTTTGGAACTTTGGATCAAGTGGTACAAGGATCAGATCATCATATTTCTACATATAATATTAGAGAATAGAGATCATATTTCTGCGTGTAATATTTGACCACCTAGGGGCACCTAATTTGCATGCCTTGAGTGAAAATCAGATTTAACGGGTGACCAACAATTCTTATTGTTTGATATGTAGATTTGGGGAGATTCATTCCAAGTTTTGTAAAACACAAAATTTGAGTTATGATGCACGTATTGCAATTATAATTTGAAAGGAAAAATGGCAGAAGACTACTTCTTTAGAATTGTTTAACATCAAGACGATAGTAGAACATTTCAACTCCTAAAATTTTCACCAATTATTCACAAACTCGACTATAAAGTCCAACCATGATAATAACAGAACAATGGACACCCTCTTGCTTAACACCTAAAATAACCCAGAGAAGAAATGGAAGTGGTTAAATACAACTTCACACAAATTTTTCAGACTACATGAGAACAAGTTCTCAAGATAGACTTTTCCGTCCCACAAAGTATTATGCATATGGTACTTGCTGATTTTTACTGAGGTGCCTTCCCTTCGAGATGACAAACAAAAATGAGATAAGAAACCTGAGGCACGACACAAAACCATGATTAGCCTTCTCTGAACTTGATAGGAGAGTCAAATGCTGTCAAATACAAAAATTATGTCAATGGCCTAAAATGAGAACTTAAGAGCAATACTCTATCAACATTGTCTAGACTTTGTAAAGTGGCAAAGGAATTCATAGAGATTCAAAAGTTATAGTCTCAGCCAGTATAGAAGGATAATGAGTTGCACGTCGAATTTTTGAGGTTGATGATAATTTCAAGGACTTGCCAAAGTGGGAGTTATACTTACAATTACTTGCAACTATTGAAGACTTGAGCCATGTATTATTTACTTTGCTATGTCCTGCAAAGGGACGATTATGAGGTGACAATTATGAGGTGCAGGAAAATCAAAAGCAGGTAAAATAACGCAAACTTTGTATAATGTGCATATGCAGATGTGGAAAAATATCAGATCAGATTACCTCCAATTTTGGATGCCTAAATCAGTTACGCTAACTCACTTCATCTTCTCTGGAAGTTGAAGGATTTGATTGCAAAAGCAAAAGTAGCAGCAAAAACCAAACAGAAACCAACCACAGCAAGCCCTGCAACAGGCAGAAATTCATGCCTGTATCCAAACTGGTCCTTGAGCAACTGTCTGATTGGCACGGATTCGTCACCACCAGCAAGTTCAACTTGTATGTCTAGGTCTCCATACTGGGATGTTAAAAGTCCGTATAAAGTCCAGGCTATTGGATTTGCCCAGTAATACCATCTCCACCATATAGGGATCCTCTGCATACGTCAATAAGAAAACGATAAGAAGGAAAGAAAAAATTGCACTTAGCAAGAACTTCTTTGACTTGTTAATACTCTAAAAGATTTTTAGTTCTTTTTTGTTATGTATCAGCCATCAATTGGTTTACTCTATCAAAATTTTCAGTTATTCTTTCAGATAAACAATGTCACGCAATCAAGAATGTGGAAACTGCACAATATATTCTGATACAGGGAAAAGAATCAGTTCATTACCATATGAGATATCGTGAAGCCACTGAAAAGATTCCACATCATAAAGAATGGTGCACCAATAATTGCAGCAATATTGTGATTCGGTGTAACTGCAGTTGTCATCATGCCAAAGAAGGTGAAATACAGCAATGTGAAGTACATGAAGTACATGTACCAGACAACTTTCCAGAGGTTCAGTTCAAAGGATGCCAGGAAGTAGAAGATAGTGCTATAGATAAGTGACTGAGCAAAGACATATGGAAACTCAATTGTAGCCTGCAAAGAAGGGATTTTGTCATACGTATTCTGTTATCCACTAAGAGATTAATTATTATACTTTGGTTCAGAAAGAAGAGAAAGTAAGGAAGGAAGGCATACCTGAGCAAACGCGAAAGGTAAAGCAGAATACATCCCCGCTGCTCTCTCTCGATATGTAACAAACCTTTCTATATAGACAACAGGTTGAACGGAAGAAGCATTTGTTATTCCAATAAATAGAACAGCTGCATACATGGATCCCATAGCATTGAAAATATCCTGTTGGTTTTCCCTGTCAGTATTCTTTAACAATATAAGTACTTGTGCACTTGGAGGAGACCAATAAAATTGGATGAGCTGAAGATGCAGAGGTACTTTACCTTTTAGAGCCAAATCTCCAGCATATTGTTCCAAACATAAATGAAATGACAACCGTGTAGAAGAAGCGCACAGCAGTATACTGTGGATTCCGCCAGTAAGACAGGTTTTGCTTCCATAAGCATGCAAGAAATTGACTGAAGAATGATCGAGAGTATTTGCTTGGGAAGCTTAATTCATCAGAATCACCAGTTGGTTTGCTTAAATGATCAACCAAATCCTTATTTCGCCTGAAATGACGAGAAAGTACTAAGTGCAAGAAACACAAAAAAGAGTGAGAAGCACGAGAAGAAATGATAAGCGCTAAAGTCACATACTCAAACAGATTTGATCTGTGATAGATTTCTGCGAAGTCAATCCCGAGGCAAATTTCTTCAGCCGGAGAAGTAACTTCAAGTATCCAAGTAGCAGGGTTTTCTCCAGGTCTGATTTTACGAACCCCTTCTACAGCCTGCAGAAATGATACTAGTTCATCTAAAAGACTAAAAAGAGTGAAACTCCTTGTGCCAATTAAAGTTCAGATTTGACCCACCTCAAAGTAATTGATAAGTTTGCAAGATCTCTCACCCAGTGGACCAGCATAAATGAGCTTCCCACCTTGTTTCATGAGTAAAAGCTGAGAGGACAGTGTAAGATCAGATCTCTAAAACAAAGAAAACCTTGACAAATGACCCGAACAGAAAAAATAGGCTGCAAGGAATGTTTTAATGCTTCTGAGTATATGATTTTTTCCTTTTATTAAATTGTTATTGTACTAAATAGCGAAGGATAACATAATCAGACAGCAACATACGCAGCACGCGGGAAGGAATGTTTTAACACTTCAAGTCTTAAATATATTTACAAAAGTTCAATCCAGAGTCCTATTTTTCTTGAATGGTCCACGTCAGCTGAATAATATATACAGAAAAGATGTTTGATACTGAAAAATATCTAAACTGAGAAAAAACAACCATAAAAATTTTCCAGTTGTATTAATCTAAAGGACGTTTGCTACAACAGATATGGAAAACATGCACAGAAGTATGGAATTATTGATGTCTTATTCATAAAAGGTTTCTTGATCTGCCAACCTACAATTGATTCATTTGGCAGCTTTCATTGTCCCATAGCCCAATGGTATCTCAGAACATGCTCTACATGAGAAATCATTGTCTCTACCAGAATTCATTTAAATAACCAACTGATGCCATGCCTTAAACTATTCATGTGATTGTAAAGTACTGCGCCTCTCAGCAAACCACCTCAAACTAACACGGATGGTTGGAGGAGGGGTTTTTTTTTTGTTGGGGGGGGGGGTGTTGGAGAAACTATAATTCACAAACTCGAATAGACTTCTTTAATGCCTAAAAGATACAAACCTCATCAAACGACTCAAATATATCGATGCTGGGTTGATGAATTGTGCAAACAATTGTTCGTCCAGTATCAACAATGTTCCTCACAGTCCTCATGACTATTGCTGCAGACCTTGCATCCAGACCTGAAGTAGGTTCATCCATGAAAACAATAGAAGGATTTGCAACTAGCTCAACAGCTATTGTCAGCCTTTTCCTCTGCTCTGTTGACAAACCGTCAACCCCTGGTAGACCAACTAAAGCTCCACTTAGGGAATTTAGCTCAACAAGTTCCATCACCTCATTTACAAATGCCTGGAATAATTTTCAGGAGTGCTCAGCGTAGGAACAAAGTTCTATATATAAAGCGAAAAGTCAATCAAGAATGAAAATAAGAATTTACCCTTTGTGTTTTGATATTAATCCTGGATGATAAACGGAGCCAAGCAGAAAACAGAAGAGATTCACGTACGGTTAAACATGGGGAATGGATGTCATTCTGTTCGCAGTAGCCAGAAACCCTTGCAAAGGTCTCTTGTTTCTTTGGGTGCCCAGAAATGTAAATACTACCTTCAATATAT